TATATATATGAACATTTCAAAGCCCTCAAAACTAACAAAATCCGCTATTGGTATCACATTTTCATGGGAAGGCAGAGTAGTGATCCTAATATCACAGGTCCTTCTATTGCATTACTACAAGAAAGTTTCAGGCAACTAGAAAGAGCCCCAGGTAATGACTTAAGCCAAGATTTTTTTCGCTGTCAAGCCAGACTTACCACGTGAACTGATTTGTCTATCACGGACATCCAAATCAGATCAAGATCAGCTCTTTCTTGGACTCAGCTTGAACAGCAAGCACACAGTGGTCCAAGTCAGAAAGACTCAACATTCGCGGTAGCGTTTGAATCCAAAACATAAACAAGAAAATTCTGAGGTTGATACTTCTCTTCATTTGTAGGCATAAAATTTTTGTGCCAGACTCTTTCTACGAGTTTAAAGAAGGGGGAAAGTAAATGCAATATTAAAGGACTAGTTAGATCATGGTGATATACTCATATTTGTGTATCCCCTTCATGTTGAGATCAGAGGAAACTTCTAATAATTATCTTTGAATAGAGATACTGAATTGAAGAATATGTATTGTTTGTTTTTGCATATATATTAGTAAGGTCATAGTACATCCAAAACATGCAGTAGCCCCAAAATATTTTACATATAACAGGCTACTCATTTTATTTTCCGGATACAAAGTTAGTGGCATAAGCCCAGCATTGTTGGCAACAGGGTCAGCAACGTGGTCGAAAAGGTTTTCAATTGATCCCTTTCCTGTGACAATGGCTTAAATAAAGAAAACATTGAGAACATAGCCAATTGGCCGTTCTTGATTTCCTTCACCTTCAACTCAACTAATGCCTCTGGATCATCAGCGAGCCCAAGTGGGTCAAAAGCTCCTCCGGGATAGATCTTGTCAAGACCTTCACCAAGTGGGCCTCCACCAACTCTGTATCCTTCAATTAAGCCCATAAATGCCCAAATGGCAAGAATGCTCTGTGCATGGATAAGGTTTGGGTTACCAAGGTAGTCAAGACCGCCTTCTGAGAATATTTGAGATCCAGCCTTGAACCAAACTCGCCTTCTGAGAATATTTGAGATCCAGCCTTGAACCAAACTGCCTCACCAAATTTAACACCATTCTTGGAAAGAATTTCGGGGAAGACACAACCCAAAGCACGAAACGTGGCCCAACGGCAGTGGATAACCTCAAGCTCACGATTCCTAGCGAATGTCTCTGGGTCAGCTGAGAGTCCAGAAGTGTCCCATCCTTAATCACCTGGGAACTCACCAGAAGGAGTTTGCTTGAAGAATGGTCCCAAGTACTTTGGCCTGTCTTCTCCATACTTATTTCATCAAGCCACAATATTTTGTTACATTTATGTCATCAAGTTCTAGATTCATCAAATTACAATTACAACATGGATGTGTTAAATATCTTTATCTTTTAGTGTACCTAAATAATTGGCGCAAAAGGAAATCTTGACACCGCCGAGTTATTATCGTATGGACAGGAGGTGAAAGATTTAAGTCATAAAAATAGTTGTTTGCAGAAATGCAAGATAAGGTTGACCACAACATACATAATATGGTCCAGCCCTTTTTTCAAATTTTGCCAAAGCTTAGTACACCAGACTACCTTATATCGACACGGACGACTCAACAATATATAATTCATTCGAGGTGGGAGAAGAAATTAAGAAATTACCAAATGCTTTGTAGGGGACTTTTAACGGTACGTCTCATAGTGGCACGATGTCACGACCCAGATTTTTCACCCTCGAAAGTCGTGATTGCGCCTACTAGTGAAAGCTTGGCAAGCCAACCGTTTGATCAATTTACCTTTTTCCCATTTTTAATCCTTTAACAATTATGAACCAACAGTTTATCAACAACGGAATTTAAACAAGCGGAAGAAACAAATAAAATCATTTAAATATTTCTAATATGATTTCTTAAACAAAGACTACCCAGAACTGGTGTCACAACTTCACAGACGGTCTAGGAATACTACAAACAAGGTCCGAAAAATAAATGCAACACTATTTCTGAAATACATAAATGAAACAGGATGAAAGGATAGAGGGATACGCTAGGGCATGCGGACGCCTGCATGACTACCTTGGATCTCCGAATGGACTGAAGGCAGAAACCCAAAACTACGGTCCGTATGCTCCAGTACTGGGATCTGCACATAGTGCAGAGTGTAGTATCAGCATAACCGACCCCATGTGCTGGTAAGTGCCTAGCCTAACCTCGGCGAAGTAGTGACAAGGCTAGGACCAGACTACCAAATAACCTGTGCAGTTAAATCATATACAGCAGAAACTAAAAGCAGGAATGTACAGTTAAGGATGGGAGGGGGAAACATGTTGTGGGGAACCATCAAATGATAACAGAAGGACAACAGGTAAATATAAGGAACACCATAACTCATTTATCAACAAGAATCAGAAATCAAACAAGTGCACGGCATCACCCTTCGTGCTTTTACTCTCGTCCTCACCATAAGAATCAATATAATCTGCATGGCATCACCCTTCGTGCTTTTACACTCTTCCTCACAAAATCATACACGGCATCACCCTTCGTGCTTTAACACTCTCTCACCAAAATAATGCACGGCATCACCCTTCGTGCTTTAACACTCTCTCACCAAAACAATGCATGGCATCACCCTTCGTGTTTTAACACTCTTCCTCACCCAAACAACAATCACAAGAAATAAGGGCGAGGAAATAAATAAAATCACAATAAAATTCCGGCAAGGGAACAATAGTACAACAATCAAATCTCGGCAAGGGAAAAATATCAAAGACATCAACATCTTGGTAAGGGAGATAACATTAAAAGAAACAATATCCCGGCAACGGAGACAATATAATAATCCTCTTCACTTTTTCACATTTACTTCACAACTCACTACACAACTTGAGCCAATGCTTTATAAGGTTCAATTACCAATTTCAATTCCACAATTCATTTTACAACTTGAGCCAATACTCTTCAATATTTAATTACCAACATTACTTCCACAAGCTTTGCTCAACAATAGAAATCATCACATAAGGCATGAACAATACAAACGGAGTCATAATAATCATAATATAAAAGTCACAGGCATGCTTTACACCAACGTATAGATACTCGTCACCATGCCTATACGTCGTACTAACCAATAACACATAGCAAATAGGACACAACTCTTAATCCCTAAAGCTAAGGTTAGACCAAACACTTATCTCAAACTTCCACGGCCAACTCAAGCCTCAAACACCACTTTTCCTTTAGAATTCACCTCCAAATAACTCGTATCTAGTTTAAATTAATTTAACAACATCAATAAATGCTAAATAATTCAATCCCAATGCTAAATTATAGGCTTTCTATCATTTTTCCCAAAAAGTCAAAAATCGACCCCGGGCCTGCTTGGTCAAAACACGAGGTTCGGACCAAAACCTGATCACCCATTCACCCACGAGCCCGAATATGTAATTAGTTTCGGAATACGACCCCAAAACGAGGTCTAAATTCTAATTATTCAAAAAGCCCTAACTCTACCCAAATCCCCAAATTTCTACCCTTAAGAACATGATTTTGGCCTAGAAATCTAATGGGTATTAATAGAAATTGAAGAAAACGAGTCTAAGAACACATAGCTATGATTTTGTGGTGAAATCCTCTTCAAAAATCGCCCAAGTTTTTTAAGTGAAAAAGTTATAAAGTTTTGAAGAAATATCATTTTGCTAAGGTAAGGGGGGCTGGGCATTGCGATCGCGGTGAAGGGAGTGCGATCGCATAGGGGAAAATAAGTTTCCCTTCTCCCAGGCCTAGTTAAGTCAGTGCGATAGCGTGTCGCATAGAACAAATGGTGACCCCCAGAATTTACTCTATGCGATCGCGGTAGTTACTATGCGATCACATAGCACAATAAACCACAGTGCAACAAAATAGAAAACCAGCAATCATTTCTAAGTGTAAAACATCTCGTGGCCTATCTAAAACTCACCCGAGCCCTCGGGGCTCTAAACCAAACATGCACGTAAGTCTAAAAATATCATACAGACTTGCTCGTGCGATCAAATCGCCAATAACATCTTAAACAACGAATTTAGCATAGAAATCTAAGAAAAATCTCAAAACCTTCAAAGTATCAAATTTCACAACTACGGGTCCGAATAACATCAAACGACTTCTGTTTCTTACCAATTTTCACAGACGCGTCTTAAATGCCATATTGAACCTGTATCGGGCTCCGAAACTAAAATATGGGCCCGATACCATAAATTTCAAATATAATCAAATTTTCAAAAACTCTTATATTTTCAGTAAAATAATTTCTTTCAAAAATTCATTTCTCGGGCTTGGGACCTCGGAATTTGATTTTGGGCATACGCCCAAGACCCATATTTTCCTACGGACCCTCCGGGATCGTGAAATCATAGGTCCGGGTCCTTT